TGTCACTTTACTCGGCCTATATAGTGGGCAATGTAAGGCCGATGGTCCAAACATATGATGGCCAGGTGTTGGCAGTTGTCTGTCTTAAGTCTTAAGTATCCCTTCAGCTCACCAGTACTGATGCTTTCTTCCTTTGTGGGAACGAACCTGAACCGTTTCTATTCTGTTGATTCTGAAAATTGGGGGGGGGGGTTTGGGGGGCGTAGGACTTTGTTGTTTTCCTTGGTTGACTTGGAGGCAACGTCCTTCGGGCTGCTGCGCAATTGCTTTGAATGCATTTCCAACCGACAACCCAAGCCTCTTAAGGCCACACACATGCAAAGCAACCGACAAGCTGACAGGTGGTGAGGCTTCCAGATTTTTTATTTTATTTTTCCGTTGGTGGGGGGCGGGGGGCAAAACTGGTGGTTGTCCTTTTGGTCTTCCCTTTAAGCCACCCCCCAAGAAAAAGGGTATCCTCCCAAATGCACCAGCGCGTGCGCTTAGGTGCATTGGCCAGCATCTCGCTTTCGGGACTTGCCGAAGATGCCGCGCCTTGAGGACGGCAAGGGGTTTCATTTCTCGAGGATGCACGGCTGGCAACGTCCGTTTGACGGTCCCAAAAAACTTACGCCCAGTGATCCCAATGGTTGCCCCCGCAAAAGCTGAAGGAGGCCTGGGACTGCTGTTACAGGGTGCTCTGTGGGCGAAGGGGTTGCTGGTGGCTGGTGCCTTTCATCATGGGCAGTGTCTCTTTCGGGCGTGAGGCAGTATGCGTTTATATCGTTTCAAGAACGGCATGCCGCTTTGAAGAACGAGGCCGTCAGTGGGCAGGGATGGCTGTTTCCGGGTGTCCAGCAGGTTTACCACCAGCAAGAAGTCAAATTTGTGGCGAGCTTGCCAGGTGACGTGAGTATGGGGTTGATGTCAATTGTGCTGGTGGAAAAGCAAGGTTTGAGCGCCACGGTTTTTGCTTGTAACATGGGAATGTCGGCCAAAGTGATCATGGGAATGACACATGTTGATATCACAGACTTCGGGTGAAATTCTTCAACTAGGGCCCCTCCAGAAGTGCCGGATTTCTCCGCGGCATCGCAGGAGCAAGTCCGATCAAGGCCAGCGGTTAGAACAGGACTGGCGGCTTTGGCCCCGTAGCCCCAGGGAATCAAAATTTGTTCACTCGCTAGCTCAGGCGAAGTATGGCACACATGGCTGCGGCGTTTGACCCATCCAATTCGGACATTGAAAGCAGTGAGAGTCGGCTGCCAGGCAGTTGTGACAACAGCAACTACTCCTCCGTGCTTTGTATTCGCCGATCAAGTTTAGAGAGGTCCTTTGCATCGACCTGATTGAAAAGTCTCGGCATCAGGGAAACATGGAGTGGCATCTAGCCAATGAATGGACTTTGCCAGACTGCCTGAAGGCTCTTTCACCTTGGCAAGTGCTTTCAAAACGGGAAGGAAAGAGAGAGGGCAATGGCCAGAGAGCAAGGATATGTTCAGATCAATTCGGTGTGATTTGTTTTTGACCAGTCGGCTTCTCTGCGTTGGCTCGCGGCACGCCAAACTGAAGATAAATCCTTTGGACCACATGGGTGGTTGTTTTTGTTGCGGGTACCCTTTACTGGTTGGTCTAAAGGGAAGCCAAAAACACCATTTTGGGCCCGGTCCAAATCCAATTTTGACGAGCGATACCCATTTGGATGACTTTCTTCAATTCGAGTTCAGGCGCCAGCTTCTGGCAGACTGCGCGAAGAAGGAAAGCGTTGATCTTGAGAGGCTGGAAGGTCCGCCGGGAGATTTGTATTTGCAAGAGTCTCGCTTCAAGATGTGGATGCGTGTCTTTCTTTGAGGTTGCCCTTTTCACCCGGGCTTAAGGGGAAACCTAAAGGAAAGCATGTTTTTGTTGGGCCCCCTATTTAGACATACCCAATTGGCAGTTCTATGTGGCTCAGGTCGGGCCCTTGATTCCCAGAGAGGTTGAGAGGCAAGCCCGGTCCCCTTTGCGCGTGCAGGGCCTTGGAGGTTGCACACCATCATGCGGGGTTTGCCGCAAGGTAGGCTTCCCCCTTTGGGAAAGCAACGTTTCTAGGAAAATCACCGTTATCCTTTAATTTGGTTAATCGAACAAATGAGGGGAACCCTGCCAGAATGTGCCTCTTTGGTGTATTGTCGGTTAAAAGGGGTAGTGTTGACCCCATATCAATAAACCCAAGGTTATGTATACGGGGTGTTCTCCTCCAAAAGTGATGAATCTCCACTAAGACTAGGGACACCTATATTAATAAACAGGGGTTTATGAATCTGGGGTTAAGATTATCCCCCACAAATTGTTAAGTGGTTCAATATCCCAAACTCTCGGCCCCGAGGGCGATTTAGCTGCCCTTCACCCTTCAGAGCCATGGTTGCGGGGATCCGTGAGGGGTAAAGAGCACCATTTCTGACAGGGCACCCTGCCTTGATGTTGGAGGGGCTTGTCTTGTCCGATTGATCAAGGTAAAGCCCATTGAGTGCACCTGGGTGGATGGTCGTATAGGTTCATGAGGGCCGGGGGTCAAGTTTGTTGCCCTTGCTTGGACTCTCGTGCCGCCCAATGTGCCGCCGTTTGAAGGATACCGAAAAAGGCCGGGCAGCACTCAAGTTCAGTGGCAGTCATGCCACATCATGAACGCCAAGCACAAACTGCTGCCAGGGAACATGCCGGCACTCCTTGGCCTGGTTTGCAATCGGTGCGACACCGATCCTGACCTGAAGGCACCAGGATCCTACAAGCAGTTCAAGGATACCGCCTAATATGGTGAATGCGGCCAACTGGTTGCCCATGTTGGTTATCGTGTGTACCGACATGCTGACGGACAGTGCCAACTGTCTTCGGCGTGGATTGACGGCAGGAACGTGGATCTTACGGACATGATTGGATTCCGGATTCTCCTCTGCTCACATCATGCGGACCAAAGCAAGTACCGGGTTGACGACTGCAACGCGATGAAATTTACTAGTTATCTCTTGTTTTTTTTGACATACACGCAATGCAAGTCAAGCATTGCCAGTCGGAGTTGTTGATCGCTGGCGTGTGAAAGTGTAAAGCTTCAGATAGTTCCTCGCGTTTCAATGCAGTGTCACAGCGATGGGCAACTCGGCGGAGTAGTTGCACACAAGGAGCTGACATGCCAAATAGATCACCTTTGTACTTAACCCTACCCTCAAACTGTTGCATGACACCATCACGAGCATACCCACACTCTTGGATCCAAGCCCTCCCTAATTTTGCGACCCTCGCTGTTTATATGTTTGCTTGTGTTTTTACTTCAGCCCCATTTTTAGGGCTGAAGTGGGAGCACAGTAACAGTTGGCAGCCATGATGAGTAGAGGTATCTACTGCCCACTGTTCCCTTGTACGGCTTACCTTGGGATCCCATCCCAGAAATGCTTTCCACTGCAAAAGCACCAGTCCCAAGGGACAACTGTCAGATGCATAGATTAAAACAAGTACAGTTTAAGCTATCTAGTCATATGGCTGCGGGTCAAAACCAATGGTACCATTTGGGGTAGGTGAATTCACCACCCATTTTAGAACCTATTGTAGTGGAGAGTGGGATGTTCACTGGGTGTACGATTCGGCTTTTGCCCCATGGCCATTCCCATGTAAACCCTGTTGGATAGGTAGCGGAAACCATTTCATGCTCTGCCCGGTGAAAGGCGAAAGGCGCGGGGATGGGCAGGCTCACCTGGGCCCATGGCATCGTGTCCACTCGCGCCATCGGTGCCAGCATCAACGCCTGCGCGCTGATCCCGGGCGTGGTGCGCAAGCCCAGCTTGCTTGAATTACAAAGTAGTTCCATCAAGTGAGTTAATTTTAACCGCCATATTTGAAGTATTTATATGGTTCATTTGTTTTCAACCACCATAATTATTTGAGTTACGTCCAAGGTTCATTTAATTTCAACCACCACATTTGAGTTTTTTTGTTTAAGGTTCATTCCAGCGTAGATCCACTCGTCTGCCTATGGAGAGCTACGGAGCTCGAGAGAGCTCACCATGATACAGGTTCTTAGCTGGCTCATGATTCTTCTTGTGCAAAATGCAAACTGGTATTGGGGCTAAAGGGTTGCACACATAAGCCACTGCCAAGTTTGCTGCTAGTTCACCGCGGGTTTGGGGAGACAGCGCGTATTCTCCATGCACGTCAAGGGGACAGCTCGAGGCGAGCCGATGTCGAATTGCAAGCTTGGTGAGAAATTCCTCTTGGCTTCAGCTTGGATTGTGCATTGGCCGGCATTGAGGATGGCAAGCTAAAATGAATTTATGTGTTTAGCAAAAGCCTCTTTGCCACACGTGGCACCCACGTCCAAATGACAGCTGCTCACATTGGAGCCTGAAAGCACATTTTTTCCGTCAGAGGAGTCTCCTTTTGAGGGGCAAGCCCTGGAGTGTCCGTCGATTGGCAGCCAAACATTTAATGTGATTCTTCTGTTCTCGACTGTTCTGGCCAGAGCTCCTCTTCGGGCGCGCCACACAGGTGTGGCCAATAGCCTAGTAAAACCTCCGGTTTTCGCAATCTGACCAAGCTTTTTGCTGGAACTCGAATCTTCTTTGAGTGATAGGGGTTGTTTGGACTAGACGTCCCGTTTCACAGCTTCACTTAAGGGGTCGACTACTCTTCAACGAACTTGCAATTACCCTTTCGGGTGGTTCAAACTTCACCTTTGGCGTCATGTTTGATTCTGAAGGACCTACGTGCGTGAGTTGGTACCCTTCTGTCCACCAACATGGAATCGACCAGCGGGTCTTTTTGATTCGGAAATCACTCTTCCAGGCCTCTTTAGTGAGGTTCCACGTTGGACAGGGTTTCATTTTTTGTTGGAGCCGAAGAACAAATCCGCGTGATTTCACCTGGGTATGGGTCAAAATTAAACGACCAGGATATGGACCGCAGGTTTTAGTCCATGCTTTCATTTACCAGGGTTTCAGTTTGGTACCTGTTTTTTGAGCCACAGCCGCTTGAGTCAAACTCAAAGTTTGGAGAATTGGAGGTAAGAGACAATCCCAGCCATGATGGGTGCGGAATTTCATTTGTTCAATGTTTTGGGTTCACCATGCAACTCACCCAACTCCGGCGCCAGGATTTGGCCAACCACAGCCCCAAGCCGAATGCCGATCTCAGCGTGGCCCGCTGCTGAGCAACTCTTCGGCGGCTGAAAAACATCCCGGCCGTTAGAGGTAACTCCTCTGGGCCAACGTTTGGGACCATGATACATCTTTGCCCTTGACTAAATGATGAGCAAAGAAAAGATATAACTCCTAGGTTTGGTTTGAATGTTGACCAAGTCCTAGGCTTTGTTGAAAACTTTCCTTGGAGCTTACTCCTTTTGCCAACTCCTAACCTCCTAACCTCCTCCGAGGTAACTCCTAGTCCCAGTGTTTGGACTTTGACTTTTTGCCAATGGGTTTTCCAGCAAACCGAGTAGTGGTTCCGGAGCCCTGAGCGGTGTTTGGAACGCGGATGCAAGCAAACCAGCAGGGATGGCCGAGATTACACCGTCGCCGTGTGTTTTTCTTTGTTGCTTCTTCAAGGTGGTTTGCCGAAACATATGCGGTTTCGTCTCCGCTGGGATCGGTGCCGAATCTCCCCCCGCCCTCGTACGCTTGAGGCGGGCATCCCTGGCATCCGCACCGGGCGGGCGACAGTGGCTGACCATGGCAAGGCCTCCATGGGAAGCGTCCATTTGCTTAAGAATATTTTTCTATTTATTAGTTTCCCCTGTTGATTTAAAATGGAATCGATCACTACTGGAAACATTTGATTTTTTCAGGGGACCTAAGCAAATGGAGGGAAGCTGATGTCACTTAGTTGACATCGAACTTGGAGTTAGCGCGATCCTACGAATGGGAGCCCTGGTGGGAAGCCGAGCTTCTGGGATTCGTCAGATTGGGAACCCAGAATTGACATCCCTCACTTGATGAATTGGGGTTCTTCCCATGAGGGTATCCTTAAAAAGGACTTTGTGGGGGACAAGTTATTGAACCGGGGTCAACTCTATGGCCCTGAACAGTCCTGTGCAAATGGCTCCCGACACATTGCACTCCACTGTCAGCGGTCTTAAATCGTCCCTAGCATGCCCTACATAGTCAATCACTAGATACTACGGCTACCCCAATCACTAGATACGTTGGTCACATGTTCATTGGATGCTATTGGGTTGCTGTAGCTCCCCGTGCGGCTCCAGTTAGGTATGTGTCAAACTAGGGGGAATCCCAACAAGTTTATGTGTTCCTTTTGCTTTCCCTCCAAGTTGACAAGGAAAGTCAAGGGGAACAGCACCACCCCCAACTGCTGCTGTTTGAGACAGTACCAAGGGGATATTGGACATTGGAAAGAGCTTTATTCCAAGGCTCCTGATAAACGGGGCTCCAGACCCCGTTGCAGCAAGTGGGGGTGTGGCATGGGGACCGGGTCCAGGGTTCTGCGTACCAAGCCCCGATCGGAGCCTTAGGGGAGCCTTGGGCACAGATGTGGGCGTGGCTGAAAATTCAAAAAGGGGCAAACCGCAGGTTTTGGTCCATGTTTCCACTTGCCAGGGCAATCCATTGTGGTACCGGGCTTCCCATGCCCAGATCTGGGAGCACGGCTCCGCGGGGCTGGTGGCGGCCTGTGACCTGGCACCCGGCGAGGCCCGGTTCGAGGGGAAGTCAACTGAGCCACTTGAAGTGCGCCATCCATTTTTTGTTGTTTAATAAAGTGTTTTTGGGTTTTTTTTTTTTTTGGGTTGACAGTTTTTTTGTAGGGTTTTGACCCGTGGCCAATTTAGGCCACACTCACAACCCGGGTAGATGAAGGTTGGTAAGGGACAATCCCCTTGCCATAACTCATAGCTAGATATACATACCTGCGGATATCCGCCTTCTTGATTCCTTACATTCTGGGTAGACCATTTTAGCACCGGGTTTTGATTGTGACTCAACTGGGGCTGAGGTTTTTTTGAGGTAGTGAATTACTCTGTTTCGTGAGTTTTCACGGTAAATCGAAACGATATCCACCGTTTTGGAAGGCCCCCGAAAAGTCGATGTGTGTGTGTGTGTGTGTTTTTTCACGGCAACCACTTCTTTTTCAGGTGGGTTCGATGGGAAACCAAGGGGAAAACAACAACACTGGAGTATTTGACAACTGGAAGCCAGCCATTTTGAGAGCCCCATACTTTAGGAAAAAACCCATGTGCGCTTAGCCTTTCTAGACAAAGCATTTCGAATCAGTAGGAAGCCGGCAAACCGTCACGTGAAGTGGGGGAATTCCTGGCTACCTTCCATACTGTTTATTTGCAAACAATCAGGGTGAGGGGAAAAAAAGAAAGGTGGTTGGTTCCGACACCTGTATGTGAAGATATGTAAAGAAGTTCGATAGTGGTTGGAAAGGCCTCCCATGGGCAGCACAGAAGATGGTTAGTTGGTTCGCACAATCCTGACAAGTCTTCCTTCTAAGCTTCCCCAGAATTAGTTCCCCTTTTTGATGTTTTGCTTGTTTGGGGGTCCCCATTGTTTTCCACTAACCAGGCAAAGAATGTTTTTTTGATGGGGTCCTAATTCCAGCCAAGTAAGGGGAGGTGACACGGGGCACACTCGCGGCATTGCCACCGGGCCGGGCTGTGTTTCTCAGAGTCGAGGTCGCTCCATGAGCAGCTTCAGGAGCAGAGAGGGTTGCTAGAGTGTAGCAAACAATGTATGCTTTGTTTGAGGACACCTTTTTTGGATGGTTTTAGAGGAGAACCGAAATGAAACCAAGCATTTGGGGCTTGCCTTATGTTGACAGATGCGCATACTTGAAGCTCTGAGTGAAGCATGTTGTTGGGGAAGAAATGAGCTAGATACTAGCTCACACATTCGGGGGTACCAACGAAAAATCCATGATTCCATGAGGATCTTTGATTTCCAAACTACGAGCAGTACTCCAACACCCTCCTTCAGGTGAATCTCCTCTTTCCTTGGTGAACTATCTTCTTGACTACCAGCAATTCATAGGGTTCCTTAGCTTAGATCTTTTAGATCTTTTTGGTGGCTGAGGTTCCATTTCACCCACACCTTCGTCACTTTTCGAAGGGAAAACACCGAATGCCGCATCGCGGCTGGCAGGCCGTGCGCATCTCCTACGGCAAATATCCGTGCTTCGCCTTCTCAGCGGTTGGATTTGTGGCTTCTTTTGGTGTGAGCAACGACCATATTTGTACAACATTAGTTTTACATCAGTGTAGTAGAAGGGATGACATGGGCAATGTCATGCAACCTGATCTTGTGTACAATGTGGGGGTGAAGGGGAGGATGTTTGAGCGCTCATGTATATGTCCATGTTTGCGCGAGGGTGTGATCTGATGTGGTGAAAAATGGTTGGCTGGCATAACCCCCCACTGAAATGATGTCCACCAAAGAGAGTTCCCAGACATATTTCATACACAAGTGGCTGTGGTTCAAAACCACTGGTACCATTTTGGAGTAGGTGCACCACCCATTTTAGTCTATAGTGGGGATTGGGATGTTCACTGGGGGTACGATTCGGATTTGATTTTGACCCATGGCCAAGTGTCTGACTAGGAATCAGCGGTTCCTCCTGGACTACGGTTTCACCCTGGGCGAGGAGAACCCCCGGGGAGATGAAGAGAAGGACCGAGCGGCCGTTTTTCCTTGGACCGGGGGTCATGACTTTGAGCGGGTCTAGGGGTTAACGCCAGAGACTGGTGGCACTTGGCGGGGGGTCATGACTTTGAGCGGTTTTTGGGGGGTTGTCAAAGCCAGAGACTTCCCTTAATTCATTTTTCACCCACCACTTGGGGGGTGACTTTGATGGATATAATAGACTAGTTGGTGATGTCCCTTTAATCGTCTTTAACCCGCAACTTTGGGGGTGACTTTGATGGCCAAAGATAAACAACGGGGCCAGGAGGAGTTGGCCTTTCACCAAAACCAGGTCCCGTTGTTTCATTGGCTGGACTCCCATGAGACAACTCGGCGATCGACCAGAGGCTCATTGGTTCAACAAAATGTCACGAGCTCAGGATAGAGGTCCCTGGGCTCCTTGCAAGATCTCCATGTTGCCAATTGAAAAATGTTTTTTGCTTTTGCAACACCAAATAATAAACGAATAAAGGGGTCCCTTGTGCAGGGCTCCTTGAAACATGTTGCTTGTTCAACACCGAAAGAAAGGGGAAACCACCATTTACAAGTGGTGTATAATGTACGGATCCCGGTTGTGGCTTCCGTACTTCCGCTTTTTGAGCAATCGCAATCTGTCTTCATTTATCCTGGGGACCGTTCTCGTGAAGGGTGGTTCCCGTTTTGAGAATCAATTTACTGGGATTGCTGGGCTTATGAGGCCATCACTCCGGTGGCAGGATTCCGCCTGAACAGCTTCTGCTTAGAATGGTCCGGATCTATCCGAAGCCAACATCACTGGCAATGATGAGCAATGAACACCTGCCATGCTTGCATATTGTCAGGGCCCTCAGAAAAGACCTCCAAACCATGGGACGGCCGAGGTGCTAGTTGATGGTTTTGCAGCTTGCAAGCGCGCAGGAGGACCTCGTTTGAGCGAAGAGAGGGCGGAAAAAGGCGGCGTGCGATGAAAGCGCAAGGAGATGCAGGCATGAGATGAATGGAGGGTAAAGTGGCCGTTCTGTAGTTTGTTGAATCGGTTGTTTTGCCTGCTTCAACCTGCTCTGAGTAAAGGTGCAGGTAGAAACGCTGCAGCATGAGCCTGCTTGGTTTGGCTCTGCGCCAGCATGCTAGCTTCGTGCTGCCAGACTTTGTTAGTGTTTGGATCCCGCGACAAGCGGATAGATGTTGCGTTGTCAATGCAGTCTGGAGGGGGAATGCCCACTTGCCACTTGCCTTTGAACTTGCAACTTGCCTTTGAACTTGTCACTTGCCTTTGAACAGCCCAGTCTTTCCAACATTCACTGTGTCCGCAACCGAAGTGGACATGGAAGATCCAATCAGCCGCGAAAGATGCCCACTTCTGCTTAGCACGACTGTGCAAATGACAGAAATCTGCCTCAAACGCAGTGATCCTCTACCAAAAGCTGGTGTTCCACCTTCCAAACGGAGTAGATACAAAGGTCCCTCCGTTGGCTGGATTCCTTCATTCAAGTCGGGAAAGAGGTTGTGGGGAGCAAACCCAAAGGTCCAAATTTGAAGTCGAGCTATGCCCCAATTCAAGTTATCCTTTGTTCCAGAAAGCCACCAGAAACTATTCGGAAAATTGTCAATTCTCGGTACAGGGCTATGTGTCAAAATAGCGAGAGTCCGAAACAAACTGTGTGTTCTACTGCTGGTCCCTTCTTGTATCTGCAAAGGGTACCTAGTACAAAACATCTCTTGTTGTATCTGAAAAGGGTACCTTCACCCACAGAATGGGCATCAACCCCTACTGTGGATGGGCAACCTCCGCAAGACCACCACATGGGCAGGTGGTCTTTCAACCAGTATTCATAGGGTTTGATCCATCCCAACTGGTGCCCATCGGCGTGGATGTTGTCCATCCGTTGGACCTCAGACCCGAGGCCGGGTGTGCTGAGCCAACGCGTGCGAGCAGAGCTGGGGCTGAATAGGCCGGAGTGCGTGGCATGTGTGGCTCTGTGGCACACGGGGGCCGTTTTGCCAGCCTGTTCTTCCGTTGGGTTCAGATTGTTGTTCTGTTGTTCCCCTGTACATGTTGGTCTTAAAGGGAATCCATCACTGGACATATATTTTTTTCCAGGGGACTTCAGCACATGGAGGCGTTGTTTCCCTTTTGGTTCATGGGCCAACAAAACTCCGCTGGACCAGGCGCAATGAGGAAATGGACCTCTATGAATCTGATGTTCACCAAACGAGCCTTCCCCCATTTGAGGCGTCTGTTTTGGTTGGTACACCCACCCAGTGATGCAGTATAAAAGTAAGGCAACCTTTCTCTTGGGTGTGAGTTTGGCAAGCTGACAGATGTGGGTCTCAAAATCAGCTACCAAGTCTATTGACATTATTAACAGGCGGAGCACCCTTGTTGGATGCTTTCTAAAGAGCAAACAAACAGGAATACCACCCCCCTATTTCAGAGAAACTGGCAGCAAAACCACGGCTCATGTCCTTTGCTTTTTTGTTGGGGGGGGTCCTTATTTTTGGAGCTGGTGCACGCACCTCGATCGCAGGAATGTGCGTGCAAACGCGGGGGCTCCCAGGGGGTTGGGTCATGGGTGCGAAGATGTGCAAAGCGTTTGTCTCTAAATGGGTGTGTCTTGGTTGGAGCACCCCATGTTTCTTAGGGGGAGGTGGCAGCGTGGACATTCTGGAAACAGCTCACTCTCCAGCCAGCAAAAGGACCAGCCAGGGTCAAGGTTTGAGGCACCATCCAGCACTGCCAGCACCCTCCAACTGTTTTTTTCTAAGGTACCAAGGGGATTTTCGGACATGGGAAACAAGCAGCTTAGTTGGGACGGTGGATCCGACATTGAACAAAGACACTTTTTCGAGGTGGTTGTGGGTCAAAACCAGTGGGATCCCATTTTGGGACAGGTGAATTCACCACCCATTTTAGAACCTATTTTGTTGGTTGGATTGGGATGTTCCACCCAGGATTGGGATGTTCCACCCATTTTAGAACCTATTTTAGTGGTTGGATTGAATCGGATGTTCACTGGGTAACCGATTTGGATTATTGACCCATGGCCAGGTCCGGGGTCTTTCCGGGCCTACGGGTGGAGGCCCCACAACCTTCGCTCGGCCAGGCCACGCCTCCTGGGCGAGCCGGGAGCGCATGCCGCATGGGAATATCATGATGTGTAGGTTTTCTTCCATTTGGTTAAGAGTATGTTGTATTTTCCCCATGTTGGCTTTAAAGGGATACAATTTCACTATATACTGGAACTAACCAATGGGAATACTTTCTCATTTTTCCCAGGGGACTTAAGCAAATGGAGGATTTCGGGCGATCGGTGTTGGGTTTTGGCGGCAACAGCCAGAGGGCCGCTTGGTATTTGAGGCTGGCCGAGAAGGGTCCACGAACATCCTAGGTACTCAGTGCTCAGACCCACAATTGTAGCTAATTGATTTGCTTCACCAAGTTTTGGCAGGTGCGACTTTCTTGCAATCGGTGATCCAACTGAAGGAAGTTGCTCCACTTTGTGCTTCCGCGGGATCTCAGGGAAAGAGGCTTCCAAGCACTCGGAGACCTTCAGCCTGTTGGAAGCACAGCTTGTCTCAACTGGCCGGGTTTCAGGGAGCAAGCGAGCAGATGACCATTTACCCACTCACCACCGGATCGCATACCAGCAACATGGAGGTTTCCAGTTAGCCTGTCAAGCCGTTATTCTACCCAGGCGTTGCGTTGGTGTCCTTACTTTGCAAAGGTGTTTTGAACGGTTGGTCGTCAACTTATCTCGCGTCATGAGACTTGCCTTTGCCTGTTGGCCCCATGTTCGACCACAAAACCCTTATTTTTTAGGGGTTTTCGAAATGACCCTCCATCCACTAACATGGCACCCCACCACAACGTTTGCTCACGAGTAAACCGCCTTTTCCTTGGAGCTCCGGTCAGGTTCCCTGTAGGTATGTGGGTGTCTCGTTTTTCAGGGTACCTCCAACAAGGCTTCGGTTTGCCTTTTGGTTTCCCCTCAAAGCAACCAAACAACCAGGTACCCTCAGAAGAAAAAAAGAAAAGAAAACAAAAAAGGAAAAAGCTTTTGGTTTCCCCTCATATTAACCACCCCTTCCCAAAAAGATACGAGCCCCCCCATGTCACTTTAACCTGATCCTGGCTGTCAGCTGAACGACTCAGCCATCGCTCAAGGAGCCCGGCCCAATGGCTTCGCGCTGCCAGCTGCGGCTCGGCAAAGTGCGTGTCGTCGCTTTGTAGAACCCCCTTCCCCCCCCTCCCCCCGCCAGAAACATACAGAAGCAACATGGCTTAGGCTTTCCTTTGAGTTTTCCTCTAATGCTGTTTTTTGGTCAGGGCCCACCAAAAATGGGTCGGTTTCCTGGGGCATCAACAACAAATGGGGGGTGTCCTTTTAGTTTTCCTTGAAACCAACGACAAAGGGGGAGCCTCAAAAAGAGAGAACCCCTTGTAGGTTTGACATCGGGGAAATCAACATAGGTCGAACCCCTCTTAGATCTAGCACACCCCGTTCGGTCTCGGTCAGGTTGAGAAATGGCGTGATTTTGCGGCTATGCGTGCCAACTGAGCCAAATGATTGTTGTTGAATGATGGGTTTCGGATCAGGGAGGAACTTCCAAGGATCTGCAAAGACAGTTCTGCGACCTCAAGAGTAGTATGTGGATTCGAATCACCGTTTTAAGTGTCCAACTTCCCACGAAAGTCCACTGGGCTGACTGACCAGGCGACCGCCCGCAGCCGGAGAAGAGCTCTGTGCTGGAGAAGCTGCCGGCGACGCGCAGCAGGCGAGCGGCCAGCGGGTGGTTTGGGCCGATCTCCCACATGGGGTTGTTCTCTCCTTTGTTGGGGGGGGAGGTTGGTACCTAGTCACTTAGAATTCACCTCTAGAGGGGCCTGAATATTTGGAACGGGGGAGTTGGTGCCTTGGTTGGTGGTTTGGGGGCTTTGGACCACTTGTTCTTTTGGGCAAATGGGGAAACACCCCTGGAACAGTTCCAAGAGACCAGCCCAAAGCACCAAATCGAGGGAAGCTGACGTTTGGGGCTTGGAGAGCCAAACGGAGGCCACCTGTTTTGGAGGTCCCCCTGTTTTGTGTGCATATACCCCCCACAAACGCTGGTCAGGTGTTGACGTGATGAATTGCGTGGGTAACGGCCCTTGGCCGTCGACATGAGGGGAGCGATAGCCCTTTTCAGAGACCAGCCCTGATTGGCTGATTGGCTGTGGAGTTCCTGGAGCACGGATCGATTGCAGATGTCAAAGCTGCATGGAGGCATCTTGCTGCGGGTGAGTTGTTTCGTATGCCAAAGTCAAAGAATGTATTCATTGGGCCTCGGTTTACGCACCATCCAAGCGGTTTTCCCAAGTGGCGGGGTAAAGGGAAAGTTCCGATTGCTGACTTTGAACACCTCCCAGATAGAGTCAACCCAGTTAATGACCTCAATACATTTTGGATGCCTGGGATTGACGGTGACGGACATATATGTCGGTAATAGTACTTACGTATGCTTCTCAACATGTGCAACGGAAACTTTCCTGATTGTCAGAGCTTTTCTGAAACGGCACGAACCTTTCTTTTCCGCACGAGAAGCAACCTGGCCCTAACATGATGGCTTGACCCTCAAGTACCACCCTCAGGGCCAGAACTCAAGGGGCGCACATTGGAACCCCTTGCGGGCCGTTCATGTTTGCTTCTTGCGGGCCGAATGGTAGAAAAATAATCTGCCCTTTTTGCTGGTGCTCAGTAGGGAATTCCCGGAAAAATAAACCAAATCGGGGATGGTTTGAATCGGGGTCATCATTCCATGCCTAGAGAACCAAGAAGTTTGGTTGTGTCTGTTTTCCCCAGCTGGAAGTTCCGGGGTAATAGGCTCGTTTGGGGCAGCTCAGAGAGGCTAGGTTTCTCAGTAGTGCCCTTTTACCAACTTTTTTTGGGAAGGCATCCCCTACTAAAA